GAGAGAGAAGAAAAAGAAGAAGAAGAAGAGAGAGAGAGAGAGAGAGAGAGAGAGAGAGAGAGAGAGAGAGAGAGAGAGAGAGAGAGAGAGAGAGAGAGAGAATGAGAGAGAGAGAGAGAGAGAGAGAGAGAGAGAGAGAGAGAGAGAATGAGAGAGAGAGAGAGAGAGAGAGAGAGAGAGAGAGAGAGAGAGAGAGAGAGAGAGAGAGAGATGTACAGATGGACAGAGAGAGAAGAAAAAGAAGAAGAAGAAGAGAGAGAGAGAGAGAGAGAGAGAGAGAGAGAGAGAGAGAGAGAGAGAGATGTACAGATGGACAGAGAGAGAAGAAGAAGAAGAAGAAGAAGAGAGAGAGAGAGAGAGAGAGAGAGAGAGAGAGAGAGAGAGAGAGAGAGAGAGAGAGAGAGAGAGAGAAAGAGAGAGAGAGAGAGAGAGAGAGAGAGAGAGAGAGAGAGAGAGAGAGAGAGAGAGAGAGAGAGAGAGAGAGAGAGAGAGAGAGAGAGAGAGAGAGAATCAGACGGACAGACAGACAGATGGAAACCAAAAGGAAAATTATTTTTGCTTGAGAAATAAATTCGAAATCTATCCTTTCCACATGTTTCTCTTTTCCACGAACCGTTCTCATTTTCCTCTATTTCAAATGGTCTTCTTGTAGGTTACATGCATTTTAGTTTGCAATACAACATTGCAAATGCCAATCCACACGAAAACTAAAACTAGCTACGAGAATGTTATTGTTCTCTAGGTCTAGAACAATCGATGATCTTGAATTGGTACATCCTACAATGGGATCTTGTGTTGTTCAAATAACTGGAGTTTGTGGATGTTTTCTGAAGCTGTTAAATAGAAAATCAGTTAGAAAACCAAATGCAAGTGATAATTCATTAAGTAGCTTAATGCGCTCAAACACAAGCATGCTTATATGTTAAACATGTAACATTTCCAAGCCAAGCTAAATGTATTCTTTAACGGTTGTAGTCTAACACACACACACACACACACACACATACACACACACACACACACACACACACACACACATACACATACACATCACACACACACACACACATACACACACACACACACACACACACACACACACACACACACACACACACACACACACACACACACACACACACACACACACACACACACACACACCTTCAGGAAAGATATTTGAATTTGTAAAACCGACTTTTAAAATTCCAAAGTGTTTCTTTTTTTTAAAGAATTGTCTGTTAGCATTATATCTATAGAAAGACGTTAATACATGTGGCATTGTGAGGTGGTTTGTGTATAGCGGAAGTTTCAATAGAGCGGATGAGGTGGTCTGTTTAACGCCACCTCCTGCCTTTTCATTTTCCTGTGGGCTGTGTTCTACTATTTGTTTGTGTCTGTCATTAGGGTGGTAAACTCACGTTGTTTTTGTACTAGTGAGATCCTACTAAACTGGCAATAATCGGAGAAATTTTAGCGAAAGACTGGTATTTTATCTTCAGGTAATCAGTGACTTCTCTGAAAGTTATTAAGGTAGGTATTTTGTAACTGGCATTTATTTATTGAGGTACAAGAAAAGGATTTGAAATAACTATATCAAATGATCCTGTTTAGCAAGTGATTATGCCAGGAAAAAGAAAACTGTAGCAATTTAGGGTAAACTGAACAGATTCATTACGATTTTCCTTTGCCATTCCCTTGGATATCTCTCTGCGGTCTCCCTTCGAACTATTTGAAAAATACTGCTATAAAAGACATACCGTAACCACTGACAACCTATGACCGAGTTTACATAATATATTTTGAGGATAAAATTACTGCTATAAAAGACATACCGTAACCACTGACAACCTATGACCGAGTTTGCATAACATATTTTGAGGATAGAATTACTGTTATAAAAGACATACCGTAACCACTGACAACCTATGACCGAGTTTACATAATATATTTTGATAATAACAGTGAGTGAAAATATAACGAAAAGAAAAAAGGATAGAGTGTATTAAGATGAACAGCTTATTTGGCAACACGTGTTTGATCCCGTAAACAGCTCGTTGAACTTCCAAGAATAATACATTTTCTCATGCATAGATATCAGCGCTTCAACAGCATATTAATAACTCGATAGACTCTTTTGGTCCAGGCGGTCTTGAGAATTGTGTTGGCCCGAGTTTAAACAAAAATCTGTAAACAGTTACCTTTGACCCAAGAGGATATTCATAGTATAGAGAGGCAGATCTTTAGTTTCTAACGCACAAGAAATATAAAAAATACCGTTATTTTATTTATTGTATCAAACCACAGAGGTTCTTTTCAACAAATGAAGTGAAGTGAAGTGGTTCTGCGTCACTTACTTTTTTTTTCAGTCTGCTACGTGTGATGCACTTTTTTCACTATTCAAGAGGTTCATTAGATATAGATTCAATATAAAGTGATATATTATGCTGCTCCGTTTATCATCTTAATTATTGTATTTTAGATAAAATTATATGAACCC